GGGTAGGTGTTCTAGTTCCAGGGGCTTCCACTTTGGCCTTTTCCACTCTAAATAATCCTCAATCCACTGATTGGGGATCCATTGTGGGAATCCTGCCAGTTGCTAAGTGTATCTTTTCTCACGGTATGTTCTAGGACTAGGAAAATAACCAAGGATGGGTCCATGGGCCCAAAGGACAGTTGTGAGATGGATTTGGCTAGGATTCCATGTAGCACCTGACCTTGATAAGCTCCTAATGTGATTAGTGGAGTAGAGTGGCATCTTAGGTCTCCAGAGATCAGCCCACGTTGAGAGCCAGAATCTAAGAACTTCAAAGGGTCTGGGTATTTCCTTTTCCCCAGTGCTCAGTCACATGGTAATGACTGAGCACTGCTCAGGGAGGAAAGTGTTGGGAAAGATTCACAGCGTTCACCTGTGGCCACTTTGTAGGGGTCTCTTTTAAAGGGACTTCCAGCTTTGTCGAGGAGCTCTGGGTTCATGAGCCAGCTTGGACATGGGATCTGGATAAGAGGCTCTGAATCCTGATATGGGAACATTTGTTAGATTTCTGCTCAGTAGGAATTTTCTTACTATATGTCAAGCGTCAGCTTAGTAGGCTGGTTTGATGGTCAATTTACCATTGTCTTGGATTCTAGTGGGTCAGAATACTCTGATCACCCTATTGTCCTATAACCACTGTGGCACTTGTGCCCCCCTGGTGTCTGCAGTTAAGTGCTGCATTGGTCTTTACTACTGCTGAACCTCATTATTCCCATTGTGATCAAAGAACGCAAGTCCATATCAGTATTTTCCACTGTCATCTCTGGCCTGTAAAGTATAGCCACCTTGGAGCATATCAAAGATGCTGGTGCCTCTCTTACCAAAGCATGTTTTTCAGGCCCACCTGGGAGGGGTGGTTTGGGGGGTGGCTGAGCAGATTGTACTTTGTAGAACCATTCCAACATTTCTGATTCCTTGAGCTTTCAGACTGTCCTCTGTAGCAGTGGTTCTCAACCTTAGAATTCCTGAGGGCTTTAAAAATTCTGATGTCCAGGCCATACCCCAGACCAATTAAACCAGGATTTCTGGGGGTGGATGCTGGTATCTGTAGTTTTTAAAGCTACACCAGTGATTCCAATGTGCAGACAATACTGAGTCCCGCAGTAGAGATTTCAGAGTGTTGTCCTAGACCTCCAGCATCACTTGGCAGCTTGTTAGACATAAAAATTCTCAGGCCTCACTCCAGGCTTACTGAATGAGGAACTCTGAGGGTGCAGCCAAGCAATCTGTGTTTTTACAAATTCTTCAGTGATTACGAAGCACACTAAAATTTGAGAACCACTGCTCTACAGTATGCTGAAGAAATCCTCGTATTTTGACCTCATTAATCATTGACCATCATTAAGCCATATTTCTATTGGTCAGCCTAGCAAATTCCCAGATGTTGGAATCTCTGGTTTCCTAGATGAGAGGCAATGTGAATGTCAGCTGCAGACTTGCTTTTGAGACCTGGTTTGATTCTCAGAGAAGATGTTTTCCCATTGCTTCATTCAGTACTGAAGTCTCAAGATTCTTTATCATCCTCTTTTGCAAGCTGGTGCACTTCTTATTCGTACATCCTTGGGGTGCTAGCTGAATGTGAATGGTTTCCTATTGGATACCACACTATGCGCAGACCCTAGGGTTTGTCTCTTGTTCCATTTCAAAAGGTTGTTTCAAGGTCACCAAGATTTAGCACATGCCTTCAGAATTAGAATATCTTGAGTGCTTACCTCTTCTTTGTTTTCCTATTTTCTGTCTGTTTTCCTCTTTCCTCTCTATTTTTGGTTTTTGAGGTTTTCTAATTTCTTGCCAGTTCAGCCATACATTTTATAAAGATATTTAAAAATATTTTATCCAGCATTTTTTGTTATTTTCAATGAGAGGAATATTCAGAATATCTTGTCTGCCATCCATCAGAAATGAACAAAAGAATTTTAACAGTTAGTCTGGTTTCGAACTACAGACTTACGCAATTTGACATCCAGATTTTTTGTGTGTGTGTGTGAGGAAGATTGGCCCTGTTGCCAGTCCTCCTCTTTTTGCTTGGGAAAGATTATTGCTGAACTAATATCTGTGCCAGTCTCCCTCTATTTTGTATATGGTTGCCGCCACAGCATGGCTTGATGAGCAGTGTGCGGCTCTGTGCCCGGGATCTGAACCCATGAACCCTGGGCCGCTGAAGTGGAGCACATGAATTTAAACACTACACCACCAGGCTGGCCCCCTGACATCCAATTTCTTAACTTAATCTGTATGACAAGATTTATTAGTATTCTTTTCATACACAGCTTTTCTGGCAATTGGTATTTTGCAACCTTGGTGTCAGATCCATGACATAAGTGTTGATGGCACATCTTAGCTGCTACACAAATGATCTTTTCCTACCCTAACATATGGGTACAATAGTTTGCTGACTGTTTTGGTAGTGATTATTTTAAAGTATGAAAGCTTGTTCATTACTATAGCTAGAGTGGTCTCCTTGAATTGAATGATTAGGGTTCTGTCTCAGGATAGGCTAGTTTATATTGTGATAATGAAGACCATCAAAATCTCATAGGCTTAATTGTTTTGCTGCAGGCCTAAGTGGCTCTGAGGGCAGCTGACCTCAGCATTTCAGGCTGCTTCCACGTTACATGGCGTCTCCATCCAGCGTGATGCTTTAAAGTTTCCTGGAGCAGGGGAAGAGAGTATGGAAAATTGCACATACATTATTTCTACTTTCAGCCAACTGGCCAGAACTAGTCACACCATTCCACCCAACTCCAAGGAAGCTGAGAAATATTTTTTGTGTTGCTTGGTATTGACATTTTTATATGTCACTACACCTAGATCAACAAAAACTTAGTTTTCTTCTTGGTATTTGTCATTTATTGTGGTATGTTTGTTTAGTATTCTTTTAGTTTTCCTTTTTGATATTAATATTTCTTTAAATTTTTAAAATAACAAGTGGTAAATCCATACAGATAACATTGAAGATAAACATCACCTCTTGTGCACTGTTCAATGCCATCTGAAGTTAACTTTTGCAAGCAAGATGTCAGGTTGCTGTGGCATCATTAGCATAGATTATATGATGTGTGTCTATTTACAGGACACTGAGCTCCAAAGCAATTTCTGTTATGCTGGAGGCAGTTCAGACAGTTTTATCTCTTTAAGGGTCTGCAGCATTAAAATTAATTTCCAGTGGCGCTTAGTGATACAAAATGCCAGTGGATTATAGAATAGAGAAGTAAATCCCCGCCACTAATTTTGTGAAGCAGAAAGCTGGATCTGGGTTTTGAATTTAGTGTGAGGCTGACTGTTTTAAAAACATTAAACCTTTTATTTTGAGGTAATTGTAGATTCGCATGCAGTTGTAAGAAATAATACAGAGGGAGACTGTCTATCTTCATTCAGTTTTCCCCAGTGGTAACATCTTGGAGAACTATAGTACAATGTTACAACCAAGATATTGACATTGAAACCATTAATGTAGAGAAATGTAGGAACAGAACAGTTTCATCACACAAGGATCCCTCATATTGTACTTTTATGACCATACCCACTTCCGTCTATCATGTCAGCCCCCCCATCTGTTCTCCATTTCTATACTTTTGTCATTTTGAGAATGTTGTATGAATGGAATGATTTGGTATGTTACCTGTTGAGATGGACTTTTTTCATTTAGCTTAATTCTCTGGAAATTCATCCAGGTTGTTGCATATGTCAATAGTTTGTTCCTTTTTATTGCTTACTGGTATTCTGTGGTATGGTTGTACCACAGTTTATTTAACCATCTACCTGTTGAAAGACATCTGGGTCGTTTCCATGATCAATTTACATAAACTCTAGAAAATGCAACTAACGACAGAAAGTAACTTGGTGACTTCTCTGGGGAAGAGAGAAAGGGTGTGGGATGGAGAGATGACCAAGGGAACTTGAGGAAACACTTGGGGGTGTTTCTATCTTGATTGTGCTGATGATTTCACAAATGTATACATATGTCAAATGTATCTAATTGTACATTTTAAATATATGCAGTTTATTTTATGTCACTTCTAATTTAATAAAGCTATTTAAAACCATAACACATCAACAAATGTTCCACCAGTACATGACTATTGTGCAGCTACTCCACGTGCAACTCCAACTCATTCATACTCTTGTTCACAAAATAAGACCAGTGACCATAGGCTTAGATGTTGTAGCATTATCAAATTGCTCTGGAAGTTTTTAAATATTTACTTTCAGCTTTTATACTTATATCTTTGTTGACAGTAAGAAATAGTCTTGTCTGTGTACCACACTTTGAGTCACACTGTTTTAAAGCGGTGCTTCCACACTATTTTATGTACATTTTTTTCCACCCCAGCATGGGGCCATTCTATATGCACCATTCTGAAACCATTCTACCCTACTTCTTGGTCACACTACGGTTTGATTATTCTGATGTATGAGTTTTGGCAATGAGGGTATGTGATTTTCTTAGCATGACTCCTAGGAAATTAACTAGATCTGATAAAATATGCTGCTGAATTCCTACTCTCAGATTTTTGAAGACATCATTTAAAAGTTTAATGAAATGTAAGAATTTTTCAAACTAGGATGTGCTGGAGCATACTAGGGAGCTGGGATGGTAAAGTCTGTATTCAGATCCTGGCTGTCCAAGTGAACTGGATGGAGAGTTGCTGGACCTCTGTCAGCATCAGTTTCCTGTCTTTAAAGATAGAGCAACAGTTGCCTCATAGGATCAGTGATACACTGAAAGTGCTTGGTAACTGATAAGTGCTGTACATATCTAAGTTTATTTCACTAGATGTATTTTTACCTTCATCTGGGAGAGTGGCTATTTTTTTCTGGAACAAGGCCCATATTTTGAAATTAATTTGGAAAGTAGTTCTTAAAAATGGAAGGTGAATTTTGTAGTGTCTTACCTTTTACATATAGGTTAAAGAATTGAGAGATAAATATGAAATAATATTCTTTTTTTCTTTTTTTAGGCAATTACTCTTTTAACAGAGTTAATTAGGGAAAACTTCAGGAACAGCAAATTAAAACAGTGCCTTTTACCAACGCTTGGAGAGCTGATCTATCTTGTAGCCACCCAGGTGAGACTGTCTGATTAACTCTATTGCTGTTTTGACATGTTCTGACATATCCTGGCTGACCTGTGTTAATATCCTATAAAAGTTTTTTGACTTTGCCCCTTAGAGTATGCCTCAGGAACTTGGCAGTAATTTTACCTTTGGAGGAGAGAGGCTCTCAGTGTTTCTGTCTCTCTCTCTATATATATATCAATTTCTCCTTCCCTCTCTCCCCCTGTCTGTCTGTCTCTTCCTCCTTTCCTTTCTCCCAGTATCTCTTTTCCTTTAAAGTGTAGGAGATTCTTAGGCCATATTTTAAAACCAATGGGCTGAAAATCCCCAGAGTACTCCCTAGGTTGCTGCCATCTTTGACTTCTTCAGGCCAGAGGAGGCCATTGATTCTCCCAGTGTGAAAGCTCCATTTCAGTTTAAAACACTTCCTCTGTGCAAATATTGGTCTTAACATGGCCATGGAAATTTGTGACTTTAGGGGATGGCCCGGTGGCACAGTGGTTAAGTGCGCATATTCCGCTTCGGTGGCCCGGGCTTAGCCAGTCCAGATCCTGGGTATGAACATGGCACTGCTTGGCAAGCCATGCTGTGGTAGGCGTCCCACATATAAAGTAGAGGAAGATGGGCATGGATGTTAGCTCAGGGCCAGTCTTCCTCAGCAAAAAGAGGAGGATTGGCAGCAGATGTTAGCTCAGGGCTAATCTCCCTCAAAAAAAAAAAAAATTGTGACTTTAGAATTTACTTATTTCTAAAATTACAATGTGTAAGTGGTATCGAATTCAGTAGGGGAAAACAATATTTCATTAATGTGGTTTTTAAGGATATTATTGAGTAGGTATTTGTAAGTTATGAGTTATTCATTTCACATGATACTCTGAGAGTTTTAAATAAGTACCAGTAAATTATAAGTTATCAGAAATTTCTCTTATTGATTTGAGTTTTAGTTCTAGAACTTGCTTAAACGTTATATGACCCAAGTATTCTTAGTAATTCAATTAAACTGACTTTCTGGACAATGATCATCATAACTATAATTCTTATAAAACATCAGTATTTATAAGCATTTGGCTCCATAATTAGTATTGATAGCCAGGACAGCAAATCTCTCCTCCTTATTCTTTCTTTTCATAAACGTCTGGACTATTCCTGGCCCTTCGCATGTCAGAATAAATTTTAAAATCAGTTCGTCCAATTCTGCAAATAATCTTTTTTAAAAAAACTGCATTGACTATGCACATCAATTTGGGAAGTACTGATAGCTGTATGATTTTTGTGGCTTTCACTGAATGTTTGGGATTGTGCTGAATCTGTGTATTCATTGGGAAAGTGTTGGTGTATTTATGGTATTTTGTCTTCCTATGCAGAAAAAATGGTGTTTCCATATATTTATATTTTAAAAATTATTTTCATTAAATGTATTTCATTCTGTTCATAAAGCTTTTGCATGTCTATCTTTGGTTGAATTTATTCTCAGGTAATTTTATATTTTGAAGAGACAACACATTCATGAAACTAGAAAACTGGGAAATAAAGAAAGGTGTACAGAGAAAAATCTTCTATTTTTGTCCCCCATCTTCATAGTTCTCCAATACGTCACCTTTATATTACTTTCGCACTTGTATTTACAGTTACTTTTGCATATGTGAGCAAAGAGAAATGTAGATTTTTATTTTGTCTCATTTTATATACCAGGTAGAACAATGTGCTTTTTTCACTTAATAGTGGAGATACATACACTGGAGCTGTTTCTTAATATGAGTGTATTTCTTAATCTGCACTCCCTCCCTTCTTCTCTTTCCCCCTCTTCTTGTCCTGGAGCATTCTCTTGTGTGCTAGGTTATGTGAAAGGCAGTTTTCCTTCTGTTCTTTGGGATGGGGCTGGAGAGTTTATTTCTACTTTACCGTTACCATGGGCCCTCAAGGCCTTCATGTCAAAGCTCAAATTTACCAAGTTTTGCAGGCCCTCAGAGTAAAATTAACTTCAGTACTCATTTTGTCCCTCCATGCTTGCAGCTATCTAATTTTTGGCTTGATTATTCTGTGTTTTCTTGTGAGATCTCTGATGCATTTTAAGAATGTCAAAATAAAACTAGTTGCTTTCATTACAAGAATGGTCAGGTACCTACTCTGCCATCTCATCAGGGATGGAACTCTAGTCTAATTCTTGTTCTGTGTGTTGTATTTTTTTTTTTTTTTTGCCTTTTCTCCCCAGCTTAGTTGTGGTATCATTGGCCTACAATAAAGTGCATGTTTGAAGATTACAGTTTGATTAGTTTTGATATATGCATATACTTGTGAAACGATCACCACAATCGAGATAATGAACATAGCTAGCATCTCTGGAAGTTTCCTCAGCACCCTTTGTAATCCCTCCCTCCTGGCCCTCTCCCTGCCCCCAGGCAACCACTGATTTGCTTTCTGTCATATAGACAAGTTTGCATTTTCCAAAAATCTTACATAATGGAATCATACGAATCATATTCCTATTTGTTTCTAAAAGTAGATCTAGAGAATCGTTTTCCTTGGTATTTACTTACTTTAATTGGCTATAAGCTACGCTATTTGGAACAAAGGATGATTCTGTGGCCATGACGTTTGACCACATCTTATGGTAGCAATCCAGAAATGGAAGTTATATCCTGGGATCCACAAAAATCACTACCTTTCCTAAGATGAGGGCTTTTGCGGCATTGTCACTATGAATATGGATGAATCTTGAACTCTCAGGACCTGGAGTGGTGGTGTATACTGTACATGGTACACTAACCTGAGCCCTGTCCTCTTGGCTCTCTGGTGACACCCCAAGGTTACAACTTGCAGACAGAAGACCAGACCAGACTGTGATTCTACAGAGGATATTATGAGGCTATTATTCACAGTTTATGGTTTTTTTTTTTTTTTTTTTTTTACTTTTGTCAAGGATACACACCACCTTGAGTCCAGGTATTCTTATTTTGTCATCTTTTTGTCCAGCCCATGATTTTCTCGCACCTGAACTCCTGTAAGAACTCCCAAGTGGTCTCTTTGCTTACTCTTGTGACTATTAAAGTCTGTTTTCCAGACATCAGTCAGAATGAGCCTGTGAAAACTCATGAGAGACTAACAGTGTCACAGCTCAGACCCCTCCAGTGCTTCTTGTCTTGCTCAGTGTCACAGCCAAACCCCTCCAGTTGCCTTCTAGGCCCTTGTGTGCTGCCTCCTTGGTACCCGTGTGACCTCAGCCCTCACTACCCTCCTATTCACTTACTCCCTCTGGCCACACTGACCTCCCCATAGTTCTTTCAACCACCGTGCTGTGCTCCTGCCTCAGTACCTTTGCGCTAGCTATTCCTCCTGCTTGCAGTGATTCCTCCCAGATGTTTGCATTTTCTCTCTGCTCAAATGAATCCTTTCGGAGAGCCTTTTCCTGGCAACATGAGATGGAGCCACCCTGCCTCTAGTCTTCCTCTAACCCCTTACCCTGTCATGTTTTTCTTCATAGCCCTTATCACTATCTTGACTTATTTGTTTTGTTTACTTTTTAAAAATTTCCTCACTAAGCACTATTAAGGCAGAAGATTTATCTGTCTTATTCATGACTGTATGACCATTGTTTAGAAGAATTCCTAGCACATAGTAGGTGCTTTTTTTCGTGTATGAACTGTACCAAGGCCAGTGGGACAGGAGGGAAGTGAGAAAGGAGGCAGGGCTGGAGAGACTGGCAGGGATACAATCATGAAGGGATCCTTGGCCAAGTTGGATGGATGTCTTCCTCTTGATCCTAAGAGCAAGGGGACAGGGACGTCATGAACACTTTAAAGAAGGGTAATGATGTCATCTGATTTAAATGCCAGAAAGATTACTGTGGTTTAAATGTGGAGAATAGATTGGAGAATGGTGAGAGAGGATTCTGAGAACCTAAATGAGAGTAAGTGAAGTAGGAGCAAAGTTAGGGGAGAGAAGTGGGTATTTCAGGAAGGAGAAAGTCGGTAGGGCTGAATATAGCTCATAGTCCAAGAAAAAGGAGTAAAAAGAGCCCAATAATTGAGTGATGTGAGTCACTGGTAACTCAACAAGAGCTGCTGTATGTATTTATTTATTTAACTTGGAGTGAGGGAGACAGAGGAAGTCAGATTGGAGTGTTGAGGATTTAGTGGGAGGTGAGGAAGCTGAGAAAGTTGATATGAAGCGAGATGGGTTGTGAAGCAGAGCAGAGGGCTACGGGGCTGAACGGGGGCTCTGTTTTGAAAATGGGAGACAGTGAGCTGCTTCTAGTAGAAAGAAACAGAAAGAATCCAATGGAGGCAAGACATTGAAAATTTAGGAGCAAGGAAGGATAATCCATAGCTAATGACCCCGAAGAAGGCAGGATGGGAATGGGATCCTGAGCCCACGTGGAAGGGGTAGAGCAGCCTGTCCTGCTGTAAGCACTGGGTGTAAGCAGCAGGTGGCTTCAGGTGAAGTAAGTTAGTTCCTTTCTCATGACTTCCATGATCTCTGTGAAGGATAAAAGTAGGTGAAGTGGTGAGAGGGTCATAGATTTGAACCAGTCCTTGTGGAGAGGGAACTGGTCAGAGAGACAGAGTCGGCCTGTATGTAGAGTGATATTGAAGGTCCTTGGGCTTGCTGATCCTGAATCATTCATGGACTCTCTGTGTTCTTGGTGTCACCCCTCTAAGAGCCCAGCTGCCCAAGTGCAAGCCCGGAAGAAAGGAGCTGCTGGCTCCCTCTGAGGTTGGAGTGCCCCAGACACTAGAAAAGGAAAAGCCAAAGGGAGAGATCATTTAGGCTTTGGCAGGAGTGGTTAAATGATGGACCAGGGAATCTAAGTGGCTGGGAGGGAGGGTAGGTGATAGACTGGGGGAAAGATGGAGGGTGGGGGATGGGGAGAGGGGCGGTAGAGTCCAGTGATGTTAAAGAAGGGTCCTGATGGATGTTTTGAGTCAGTGAGCTGGAGGAGGAGAAAGTGTGTTTGGAAGTTAAATTGGGTGCTGAGTTACTGCTATTTGAGCTGGAGCAGCTCCTGATGATAATGTCTAGATTATGACCCTATGTGGAGTTCTGTGATTAAGTAAGAGTGCAGTTTTAATGGGTCACAGTTCTCAGCATGAGTATAAAATACATTTGGGTTGGTAATGTACCAATTCTAACATTTGGACAATCTTAAAGAAATATTTTCTCTAAATAGAACCTAATTTCTTCTGCTTTAAAGAGGTTAACGTTTTTCACCTTTCTGTGCGGCGCCTGATATATTTTGTGATTTTATTTGATAGGTTGCAAGAATGTTCTTGTGGTTATTACACTAATTTGGTTCTTCTGTGAGAGCATTTCTGCTGATGTCATTAAAATTGGTGTGCCTGCTAATCATAATTGCTTATTTTTATTTCGCACATTGTCGTACTAGGTAACATACTGCCTTTTACTTGTGCTTATGGATTACCCTGAGAAATTGCTCAGAGCTATGTATTCTGTGCTTTCAGATTATTCCAGATAATGTATTACTTTTTAGGTAGGATTATCTGAATTATCATCTGTAATTATCAATAGAGTGGTTTCTCTATCAACCAGATCATATTGTTATTTCTCAGTTCTTTTCATCTAGCTTCTAATGAGGGATCTTATCCACATCTTATAAAATATACTGAGAAATAGAAGAAAAATACCTTGTATGTACAATGCAGTAAAAGACCCCTAATCAGATCATAATTGTCATATAGTAAGTAGTACTTTAACAAGAATATTAAGAAGTTTTAGATAGTTTGTGTATTTGAAACTATGCCTTTTTCTTGAATGGGTTAATATCTTTTGTGCTGTTCACCTCACTGCCTTTCCTTCCACTTCATTTTAGGAAGAAAAAAAAAAGAACCCCAGAGAATGCTGGGCTGTTCCCTTGGCTGCATACACAGTGCTAATGAGGTGCCTTCGGGAAGGGGTAAGCCTCCTTTGTTGTCCTCTGTAGACTCTCGCAATTGTAATAACCCTTCAGGCACTGTGTGAGGATTGTAGCCTGCAGCAGTGCAGAAACTTGTCAACCAAGTATTGCTCCTGAATTTAAATAATCCCGACAGGCCACCAGGAGTGAGTGACCCGCAGTGGAGCATGTGTGAAAATGAACAAGCTTTCTCATTCACTTTCTTAAATGTCTTGCTTTTTAAAAAGATGATAGCAAATATAAACAACATAAGTAGCTTTTAATAACATATTCTTAATCCTTCCCCTCTTTTAAACATATTGATACATCAGTTTAATAAGCAAGGTGTATGCAGAAAATTTTCTGTGAGCCTCAAAAGCCCCATGATTATCTTGTCAGGTTGCCATTTTTTGGTTCAGAAACAGGGAAGCTTCCAGTGGTATCCATTGATTTTAATATTAAATAGTATTTATTATGTGATGTGATTTTTCAATTTATGCACCTCCCTTCTCATGCTGTTGTTAATGGCTGAAAACCAGCCAGCTGGCCAACCAACCAACTTGTATATGTAGCTCCAATGTGTAACTATGTAAAGGCTTTGGTAGTAGACCTGAAAGGTTGGCATTTTCTGTTTGCTTTAAACCATTTGACATTGTTTCACCCAAGGCAAAGCCATAGGCTAAAAACATTCCTTAAGGAATGAAAAAAATATGTCACAATAAACATCTTCCTTTTGAGCTCATTACTTCTGCATTATATGGTAATGGAATAATGCTCCAAGTGTAGAAAAGCTCTGCAAGGTTTTCCCCTAGTGATCCAGAAATGAGGTTTGAACACTTACTAGCCTGTAGGGATGAATATGTAGTCAGTTGTGATTATGGGATATGAACGAAGCCCGTAGATTGTACTTTATCAATACTATGAGAATTAAGTCCTGTTTGAGTCAAGACATGTTTTGGGTTTATCATTCAAGGCCTTAAGCTAGGCACACTTGGGGGCACACAGATGAAGAAGGTGAAATTTCTATCCACACACAGGTCCCACCTGTGTTGGAGATAAGATAAAAATATAAAGTGGAATATGTCAAGTACATAAATGGAAAAGAAGAAAATATAAGAACTCAAAAGAGGAAGGAGTCTTTCAGAATTCTTTTAACAGTGGGAAAAAAACTTCAAAACCTTTGTATATTTAATTTTTAAAAGTTAGATTGATGCCTAATAAAAGATTATTTCTTGTAGTCTGTGAGCTTGTATCCTTTATTAACTGTCTTCTCTTCACCTCCTCCCATGTTTTTCATTGTATGTATAATATGAAGAATAATGTTTGATATCCATGTGTATTGTTATTAAATAATTATTAATAATTGTAAAGTAATGATATTGTTTTTGTATTTTAGTAACATACTTGCCTTTTGTTGTCTTGGTATATATGGCAAGTCGTGCATATTTTTCGTAAAGAAGGAGGAAAGTCCAGAACTCTCTAATTTATGAAAATTTTATGTTGTATATTTGAAAAGCAGTTAAGTATGTGCTTTGGCAGCATATACACTAATATTGTCCCTATAACACAGATAAATTAGGAGACAAATATTTCCCCTAAAAAGGGATTTCTATACTTACAAAAATAATTCAATTTTAGCAGTTTTTTGGCATATATGTTTAATGAATTCAGGACATAGTTGAAGGTAAATAATTTTTAAGCCTTTTATCTTCACAATTGGAAATTTTTTTCCGTCTAGAAAACTGCTTTCTCCGCACCCACAGGTATTTCTGAATAGGGGTTCTTTTCTTGTGAAATATACCTCATATACAGAAGAGTCTATGAAATCTATGTGTATGGTTAAAAGCATGCACTCACTCTCTTAAAAAAAGAAAGGGAGCTGGTAGTTTAGAGAATTCTTCCCTGGCTCTCTTAGATTATAGCTTGCTCTTTCTTTCAACGACTGACCACTATTCTGACTTTAATGATAACCATTCCCAAGTTTTTCTTTATCATGTTTCCATCTTTGAATGTATTGCTAAATATTTCATTGATTGGTTCTTAAGACTAAACTTTATATAAATAGAATGGCACCAAATCCTTTTGAGACTTAATTTTTTTGCTCAAAGTTGGGTTGAGGTTGATACATGCTGACTGTGTAAACTATAGCACATTGATACCACTCTATAGTGTGTTGTTGGAATATGCCTCAATACACACACACACACTCAACACACAGAGACACACACATGCATGTATGTGTGTGTACCAGTTTATACTCCCCCCAGCAGGTACCCATTAACCCATATGTTCTCAAACATCTGATATAGTGAGACTTTAAATTTTTTTCAATCTCATGAACAATAAATGGTTTCTAATAGTTTTAATATGTATTTTCCTGATTACTAATGATGATGACCATCTTTTTCTATTTATCTTGATTTTTTTTGGTTTCCTTTTTTGAAAACCAGGTTTTTCCATTGCTTTGTTGGGATTCTGTCCCCCTGACCCTACCATCTGTTGTTATAAAATATTTCAAATATTAGAAGAGGAAAGAAAACTATAATGGTCACCTTTATTTCCGTCACCTAGATTCCACAGATTTTAACATTGTGCCCCCTTTGCTTTGTTGTAATATATGTGTATGTGTATATCCAAATGTGTGTTATTTATTATTTATTTTCTGAACAGTTTGAAAAAAATTGCAGATGTCATGGCTCTGCATCTGTAGGAATTTTTATGTGCTTTGATATTAATCTTTTGTTGTTTATCCATGTCGTAAATACTTTCTAATTTGTAAGTGGGCTTTTCATTTTCTTTACAGTGTCTGTTGATAAGCAGAAGTTCTCAATTTTAATGTGGCTAAACTTATAAATCTATTCCTTTTGGATTTGTACTTTTTATGTCTTAAGAAATGCTTCTTTGCTTCAACATTGTTAAGATGGTCTGTTACGTTTTCTTCTGAAAGTTTGATTATTTTTCCTTTTTCCATTTAGAAGTTTAATCTATTTGTAATTGTTTTTCGTGTGTGGTGCTATGTATGGGTACAGTTTTTTTAAAAAAAATAAATATAGGTAATCGGTTATCCCAACATCATTTAATGAAAAGTCTGTCTACTCTCCACTGCTCTGCAGTGTCACCTCTGTCATATCAATGTATGTGTTTTTTTCTGGGCAGTATTTGGTTCGGTTGACCTATAATCTATCTCTGTACTATATAAGTTAATAGTTTTTATTTTTTAAGTTTTTTTAATATATGGGGAGTTTCCCCTACTGGTATAATCTTTTTTTGGGAGGGGGGTGAGGAAGACTGGCCCTGAGCCAATGTCCCTTGTCAATCTTCCTCTTTTTGCTTGAGGAAGATTGTCCCTGAGCCAACATCTGTGGCAGTCTTCCTCCACTCTGCATGTGGGACGCCGCCAGAGCATGGCTTAATGAGCGGTGTGTATGTCCGCACCTGGGATTTGAACCTGTGAGCCCTGGGCTGCCAAAGTGGAGTGTGTGAACCCAACCACTACACCAACGGGCTGGCCCCATTGTGTAATCTTTTGAGAGAGTTAACTATTTTTGTTCCTTTTGACTTGCATATAATTTTTAGAATCAACTTTTCAAGGTCACCTGTTGGGATGTTAAGAATATATCTATAAATAAATTTGAGGAGAATTAGTTGATATTAGTAGAAAATGAAAGGCGTACTCAATGAGAAGACTAACAGGAGAATGATACATGTGATTTAAAATAAAAAACAACTGGAATAATTTAACAACCGATTGAAGTTCCTTTGAATTCTTGATGACATTCAGCTAATGTGTTTAATTTTTTGCTTAAGTTAACTCTTAGATATGGATCCCATTCTTTACAGCTAACATTTATGAAGCATGTATTGTGTACTGGCTGGGTCCAGGTGAGGCAAAGATGATTAAGAAACTGCCCTGTCTTCATTTATTGGGAAAGAGAAGTTTTTTTAATCCCTGGTTCTCTAGGCCAGCCTTCTATTATTGTTTGTGTAATTTCATTTGTTTTGTTTTCTTTCTTGTGTAGTTACTAAGACATTTAAGGCTATTAACTTTCCTCTCAATCTAGTGTTCGCTGTATCCGATTAGCTTTGACCTGTAGTGTTTCCATTATTGTTATTTCATAGATAGCCCCTAGTTCTAGTCTTCAGTTTTTTCTTGATCCAGGGTTGTTTATGAGACGGTTTAAACTTGTTCAAGTGGGTGGGATTTTATTGCATCTTTTTTTCTTTGTTAAAATAGCAAAGTTGCATTACCTCATAATCAAGAATTTGTTGTTCTTTTCCTCTTGGGTCTTTAAAAAATTGTGGTAAAATATATATAACGTAAAACTTACCATTTCAACTATTAAGTATACAGTTCTATGGTATTAAGTACATTTACATTGTTGTGCGATTTATGTTGTTTTAAAATATATTGAGATGTTCTTTTGTCCAACTTACTGATTTTTTCCCCCACATTCAGAACTTAGTACTGTGCCTTGTTGAACAGGGGCCATTGATTCTGGTTTAACTCCTTTTCCTTCTCCCTCTCTACTGGGAAGAAAGCAGTATAGAAATTTTACTTCTTCATTTTAATTTGATATGTAGAATTCTTAGAAGGCAGTTTTAGTTTTCATTATAAAATATTTTTTTGTTCATTATGCATAGATAACTAGCTTTGCCCTGGGGTATTTATAAGTGTTATATGAATAAAGATTTTTCTAGTCCAATACGTTGGGACACACTGGGTTAAACAAGCTTGAACGGTTTTGTGTGTTTGTTCATAGTACTTTTCAGGGCTTTTAATTATGAATGTGCTTGGGGGGATCTTGTGCACAACATTTTCTGTTCTTTGGTCACAGACCTACCTTATCCTGTGGCCAGTGCTGGGCTGTCCTCTGGAAGAGGAAGCTGTAGTCTTACACTGACACCATACTGAGTTTGTTAAATAGTTTTCAGTAAATTTTCTCTTTTTAAAATTACTCAAGAAAGTATAGCATTGTTTTCCAAACGGGTCAACCCCCTTTGTGAACATGATTTCTGTAACT